CCAGTCCATCACAGGGACGCCCCGGACAGGTCTCCAGTCCTTCACAGGGACACCTGGACAGGTCTCCAGTCCATCACAGGGACGCCCCGGACAGATCTCCAGTCCATCACATAGAGACGAGACAACCACTCACTCTCCCACTCATAGGGACAAGTTAACGTTACCAGTCTGCCTAAAATGCATGTTTGTTTTTTTGACTGTGGGAGGAAACTGGATTTGGACATACAAGACTCAACATTCTTCACTTTTCAAATACAGAAACAACACATGAGCACTGTGGACAGGATGAAACAACATGTTCTACTAGAATGTCAGAAATATGAGCAAGAAAGAAGATAAAAGAAAAATTTAATGTTAAATGGACTCAACAGCTTCTTTCTATCTAATCAAGACACTCGAAGCTCTTTACAACACAGTCTGTGCCTCATTTACCCATTCATACAGCAATATAGCTCTACGAAGCCTAGTCAGTGCCTTAAATCACATTCTGGACACACATCGGAGGCAATGAGGAGTTCAGTGTCTTGCTCAGGGACACTTCAACATGTGACTGCTGCTGGAATCAAACCCTCAGCTCTCCCATCGGAGGACGACTGCTCTATCCACTGAGCCACAGCTGCCCACATAATAGATACGAACAGCAACATAAACATACAAATGAAAGAAAACAAAATGAATAAATAGAATTCAATTATATAGTTTATTCCTACCTACATGATACATGATGAAGAAGCGGAGAACTTTACTAATTCACGTTCTGTGTTTGGGTTTCTGTAAAGTGCCCTGGGACAACTTTGTTGTGAATGGGCGCCGTATAAATAAATTAAACTGAACGCCAGGAAACGCCTTGTAGCTGCAACTTTCCTTCCAGACGTTGCCTCTGGTGACATTATTTACATGAATGCTCCTGCCAGCTCTCTGCAGATGTTGGATGCTGCCTACCATGAGGCGCTAACATTCATAACTACTGGACCCATCACTGCACCCTGTACTCCGTGGTCAGTTGGTCATCGTTATCTACACGCAGGCTCTCACACTGGGTCATTTTCATTTATAAATCCCTCCTTGGTCTGCTACCTTCTTTTATCTCCTCCCATTTGTCACATCGTCAGTGCAGTTACGACGTGCGCTCTCAGGACATCATTACCTGCAGCGTCCTCTCAGTGCGGACTGAACTTGGCAAAAAGGCCTTTTCCTTCACCTGGAACACCTGCAACAGGAACTCAAGTTGTCCACCTTGATTTCTTTAAGGGGTTTCAAACATTTGATAACGTCAATTGAAAAATCAAAGTAAATATGTTCTAGTTTTTAGTATTTTACCATGTTTTATAAGGCCCCTTGATTTTATTGTTTTATAAACACTACTTTTTTATTTTATTTGCATTTTATTGTTGTTTATTTCATTCACTCGTTCGACCTTTATTAATACAGGTTAATTCCATTGAGCCTCCGGGACTCATTCACAAGCGAGACCTGAACTTTAGCAAAGAGAGATGAAAACAACGACAATCATAAAGGACGCGTACAAATTTAAATCTTTTTTTTTAACAAGTGAAAATAAAATGGTAATTAAAAGGATAATTAAAAGGAAAAGTAGCACAAAAAACCCCAGCTAGGTTGTAAGGTGGTGTAGCATACTAAAAACATTTATTGTTATTGTCTGTACTTTATATATTGTCTGTCTAAAACAGGTCTCTCTTGAAAACGAGTCCTCGTGACTCAACCTGGACTAACCTGGATAAAGACAGGTTGAATGAATGAATACACCTGGAATTAAACCATGATGAACCACACTCCATACCAGTTGGTGACTGTAAAACCTGCAGATTTTTGCCAAGATAAAAAGCACTTAGCAAGATGGCGGCCAAAAAAAATCTCGATGATAGATTTTCGCGCGGCTGCTCCAAACTAGCAGATTATATCGTATTTACAATATGATGTTGCGCCGTTTTCCAAGAATTACTACGCTTCTTTCGACGCGTGGCTAAATGCGCTGCTCTTCAAGCGACTGGCAGCAGGAGGAAAGTTTTGAAAGTTGCATTTTAACATTTTTATTGTCAGAACTACTGAGATCACAGGGCACAGGAGCATTCACATACATAGAAAAGATCATTAGTAAAGTTCTCTATGACTTGATGCCTTAAGAACTGAATCTATTTGACGACAACTGATGCCTCTTTGTCTTTTTTGTATATATTTATTTATTTATTTTGGTGTTGGTTTTTCCTTTGTTTAACACTTTTATTCATGTTATATTTCTGTGTGCCTTTAATATGTACAATTTGAGGTATTTCTTGTGTATACGTGCCACATAATTTTGTACATCTGTTTAAAATGTTTAATAAAAATTTTTTAAAGTTCTCTATGACGTCACCAGGCGTCAGCGCCCAGAGAAGGGGCGTGGTCCGACAAACCGTTTCCACCATGATTCTTTTGAACGTTCAAGAAATAAGATCTTATTTGTTCGGCTGGAAGAGAAGCTGAGGATTAAAGTTTATTTACAGGTTTAATAAGATCAGTACTGGACGACGGAGGTGTAGCATTTGGATCTGCATCAGTTTCATCTCAAAAAGTTGGACAAAAAACTGAGCCTCAAGATTATTAAATCAGAGCCAATGTTTTAATAAACAATTTAACGTCCTGTGAGTCTTGTTCGTATGAAGTTGATAAAAAATAAAAAAAAGTTCCTCATTTTTAGGAGCCACTGTAAATCTGTTAATTGACGCACGAAGTGACGTCACCAACGATTCTTCTCGGTTGCCTCCCTTCAGTGAGTCTGAAAAAAATCCTGAAAAAACTTTGGTTTAGTTTAATCACAGCTGAGGAATCAGGGTTTGTTTATCAGGAAATATTAAGATATATCAGGGGAAAATAATAAACACAGAAACATGGAATCTGAAAACTCAGCACTTGGGATAGTTAAGGTCATAATACCATCCATCCATTTTCTTTACCCGCTTATTCCATTTTGGGTCACGGGGGTCGCTGGTGCCCATGTCCAGCAATCACTGTGCGAGGGGCGGGGTACACCCTGGATGGGTCGCAAGTCCATCACAGGGCCACATAGAGACAAACGAGACAAACAAACATTCACTCTCTCATTCACACCTAGGGACAATTTAGAGTTACCAATCAGCCTAACATGCATGTTTTTTGGACTGTGGGAGGAAACCGGAGTACCCGGAGAAAACCCACGCATGCACGGAGAGAACATGCAAACTCCACCCAGAAAGGCCCCTGGACCGGGGTTTGAACCAAGGACCTGCTCGCTGAGAGGCAGCAGCTCTACCAGTTGCGCCACCGTGCTGCCCTAGGTCAAAATACCGTTAGTTTTAAAGGAACAGTACGATATTTCGTTTTTTTTTTTTTAATCTGGCAACCGAAAGCAGTATAAAAGATGAAAATTCGCAGCAGTCACAGTCAGAGAGAGGAAACCAGACGAACAGCGAAGACGTCAGGCTGCCCGGTGGTATGATTGTTTAATTATTTATTTAAAAGTAAACTAAAACTACAAAAAAAAAAATCAGGACTAAGAATAACGTAATGCTAATTTAGAGACAATAGAAATCATACTAAGTATGTAATATTATTTCGAAACGCTTGCATGCGAAATTCCGACGGGTACTTTCACTGATTTAAAATCAAATGATCTTAAAAAACGGACTTTATTAAAACTCCCGGTGGTGAGACCGACCGTTAAAGTCAAAGTTATACGGACTTGAAAAGCAGGATGGACTGACTGTGGCTGTACGACCGGAGATTTAGGAGGAAACG